AGTTATATTTTGCACAGTTTAAGTTATATTTTGCACAGTTTAAGTTATATTTTGCACAGTTTAAGTTATATTTTGCACAGTTTGTTATATTTTGCACAGTTTGTTATATTTTGCACAGTTTAAGTTGGATTTTGTAGTTTTATTTTATTATTTTCAGTCTGCTGTATTTTTGTCTGCTGCTCCAATAAAAAGTTAAAGTACCCATCACCTGTATTTATGTAATCTTAGCACAAAAAGTAAGTAAATTAGTATTTGGTAGAATAATAACTCATTGTAATAATGCTTCTTGGTAATAAAGGTGATAATTGGCAGTAGCTGAGGTAGCAGAAGCTCAAAATTAGAGTCAATAACAACAAAATCAGCTGTTTGGCTGCCTACATCCTCAGCTCTGCTGCTCATCACACAAATGCATGTTCCTTACAAATGTGGCTCCATTTAAAAGAGAAATTACCAGGTTTTCTAACAGTACAGGATTTATTACTTAGAACAAATAAATAATCTACCAAACATTAATTTTCTTACTTTTTGTGCTGACTTTAGATTCACATCTCGTCTGGTTTTATAAAAGCATTTATGATTATTAAACAATACTTTTTTTGCTGTTTGTGACACTTTGAGCTAAAAGACATGAAGTAATTTCATTAAGTCCTGCAGTAATGAGCTAATGGTGTCTGACAGCAGCAGCAGCACTTCCTGGTTGCTCCCAGACTCCTTTAGGAGCGGCGTCACCCTGAGCTCTGCCTCTCAGGATCTCCATCATGACACAGCTCAAACAGGACATGAGGGGAAAAGCTTTGGACCCTCGTGGACCACCGCACCCCGACGGAGACCCCAACCAGCCCCACAGACCCGCTCCTCTTCCTCGTTACCTTCGTGGGCCGGCTCGGGGTCCGGCGTGAGCGAGATGTCGTTGAGCTCCCGCAGGCAGAGCCACTCGCCGTCGACGGAAACGCGAAAGTTGCAGAGATAGATGGTCTCCCGGGCGGCCTGGGTGATCTTGTCTGTGGTGGGAGTCGGGGTCTCGCTCTGGGGCGTCAGATCCGACATGATGACTCAGCGTTCAGGGCAAAAAAAAAACAACACCACCCAGAGAGAGAGAGGGAGAGAGAGAGACGAGGGGAAAAAGGCGTAGCTGCCTTTGTTCTGACAGCTCCGAACAAAAACAGCAGCTCAGGAGGAAGACGAGCTCAGAGGAGGAAGAGCGCTTCAGAACAGACGAGGAAAAACCAAAACGAGGGATGAAGAAGGTCCAGCAGGTGTCTGGAGGAGTGCTTTATGTCTGCATCCTCCTCCTCCTCCTCCTCCTCCTCTCAGCACTGAGTGAAATACGCTGCTGTCTGAGGAAGGGCAGCCCTCCTCCTCCTCTTCCTCTCTCTTTTGTAGAGTGGGGATTTAAAAAAAATCTCAGCTCTCCTCCGGGTCGTCTGATTGGGCTGCCTGCGCACCGCAGTGAGAGCTCTGGGTGGGTGTCGACCAAGATGGCCGACGGTAGCGCTGAGGAGAGCGTACGCTCGTCACGTGAGCAGACGGTGCGTGAATGAAGAAGAAGAGGGGCGTGAGGATGATGATGGGGGGGGTGTCCCCAGAGTAACAAGCAGCTCTAACAGTGCAGCGAGGACTCGTGTCTCACAGTAACAACGTCCCTCTGAGCAGCAGGGACACAGAGGGACGACAGGGTCAAAGGTCACAGAGGATTAGTGTCAACGCTCACACCACTTCTAACATCACAACAAGAGATCAAACTGAATAGTAGTTTTATTTGCAAAATGCAAAAACTCAGTGTTTTGTTTTGAGGATCAGGACACCAGTGTGGGCCAACAGATCAACAGTTACATTCATTTAAACTAGAGAATTTACATTTCCGGCGAAAATGCTAGTGTGAATACCTCTTTCTGATAACTTTATCTGAAGCTAAGAAACAAACTGATGATGTCACCGATGTAACTGATGATGTCACTTATGTGCCTGATGTCACTGATGTCATCATAAACAAAATTCAAAAAATTTAAATTGCTGAAAAAAACTATAAAAATTTAAGATACTAAATATCATATCTGGAATGTCCTGAAGGAGCCGAACATTTTGTTATATGAATGGTTTCAGTAGCAGAAAAATTGTGAAAGGAGAAGCGTCCAAAAAATGTACCCATTCAAAGTCAATGGGAAAAAAACTGCTTAAAAATTGAAATAGCTAAAAAAGTATAAAATGTTAAGTAACCAAAAGTCATAGCCAGAATGTCCTCAATGAGCTGAACATTTTGATATATGAATGGTTTCAGTAGCACAAAAATTGTGGAAGGAGAAGCGGTCCAAAAAACGTACGGAAGAAACTGGAATAATACAGAATAAAGAGAAACACAAAAACAACAGTGTGACTGCTGGAGGCACGCACACAATAAATGACTGTCAGGATATTTGAGGCTGCGGTGGTTCAGTGGTCGGTGCTGCTGACATGACTTTATCCTGAAGCTACAGGTTCAAACCCAGGAGGCATCAGGAAGAGCATCCGACGTAAAACTATTTATCTGAGTTCAGTGACGACTCCTGAAGGAGGGAGCAGCCCAAAAAACAACAACAGCAGGATAGAAGAGAATTAGCTAACAGGACTCCAGAACTTACCTGACAACAGTGTAGAACTTAACCAACAGAAGTCCAGATGTTAGCTACCAGTTGTCTCGATTCAATTTGCACACCCCCTCAGAGCATGAGTCTGTCATAACTGGTTTTTCCTGTAATTTGGTATTTTTCTGCAAGGTATCTTGCTTTTATTTTTCAATTTTATCTAATTTCATCTTGATAGTCCTGTACAGTGATTATTATTATTTTATTCTGTTTATTTTTATTGTTATTATCTTTAATTCTATTATCATTGCTACAGTTGGTAATGTCACATAGTAATATACTGTATCTGTGGATTGATGTATGTATCTGCTGCTGCTGCTACACCTGAATTTCCCCGTGCGGAACGATAAAGGCTGTTTCTGTTCTAGACTAGAACTTAACTAACAGGAGTCATTAAGTTAGTTAACAATAATCTAGAACATAGCCAACAATAGTCTAGAACATAGACAACAATAGTCTAGAACATAGACAACAATAGTCTAGAACATAGACAACAATAGTCTAGAACATAGACAACAATAGTCTAGAACATAGACAACAACAGTCTAGAACATAGACAACAACAGTCTAGAACATAGACAACAATAGTCTAGAACATAGCA